ACATTCTACACGAACATATATTGTTGATGTATTGGATTTGGCAGAAGTTAGCAACAATGATTTCCCACATTTGATACATGCTTTGCGCATCAATCATCCCCAGCGACTGAGTGTGCACTACGTACTGAAATAAATTATGCAGCAAATCTTAAAGTTGTACTGTTGTCGAGTACCATTGTAAATCAGTGTTTGAGTAGGGCGTATATTCAATGTAAGATGTAATAAAGCGGCCAGCTTTGAATTTTACTTCAAGCCAACTTGTGGCCAGAACAGAACTCGCTATCACTAGCATTAGAAAAATGTTTTATGAAACTATTTGCTTTTAGAGCATATGTTTTTTGAATTAGCCTGCGCTGATGGTTACAGTTCAGAGTAGTACCATGATTGGCGCAGAGAGGTGCTGGTTCGCAGCTCTGTGCACCAGTTTCTGGTCAGAATCGGCAAGGAGGCCGGGCGCACAGCAGAATTGTAGCAGTGAGTTGCGAGTTCGAGACCGCAAAATACTGTGAATGTTCTGCGATGTTAAGAATTGGTGACAGGCCTACGGCCTTCTAAACGCTGAAACTGCTATTATTATTATTTAAAAAACAAGATTCCAAGATCATAAGACGCAAATTCAGGTCATTCCTTTAAGTCACCGAGGCTTGTTTAATCTAAAGCTTCAAATTCAGAGAAAATATGTGACCATAAACAGAACGCAGCATCAATTGTTCGCCTTTTCACATTGATAGTATCTTCTTCACTTTAATCAAATCAAATCTGAGGCTGATTGAATAAAAACAAATTAAAACTGAAATACTAATATTACAGGAGGAGTCATTTTAGATGCAAATAGAAATGAGCATGACAAATGAAAATTTGCCTATTTGTCACACTTGAACAAATAAGTAAGCAATGAAAGTCACCTAGAACCTTAAAATTTGGTAACTGAATACAATTTTTTCTCTCAGCCTGGAACGATACCTTTTTATCCACGTAGAAAGATTTTAAAAATGCGGCTTCATCGAAGGAGCTTGAAAATGAATTGCCGTTTGAAAAAGAGAACTCGTACTTCTCCTCTTCGGCCACCCAACGCGACATCTTCACCAGCTGTGAGGAGACTTCTGGGAGCTCCGGAAACCAGGTCTTGAGGGAGAACCCCGACTTACCCCATACACAATCGTGTATGAAAGTACAAAACTTGAAGTACGTTTCATTCGAAAATTGAGGATCGAAGTCGAGATCTTCTTCAGACTGCCTTTTCTTCACCTGAAATTACGTAATTATTGGTAGCTCAGAACAATTTACATATTCAGTCCTAATCAAAATGCTGTATACAAGAGCATGAAGATAAAACTGCAAAAAAAAATTAGACGAAAGAGGCTCATAGCCCTTTGAGCTATTTTGTTGGTTTATTACAGTATAATGGGATTTTTTGTAAGAGGTTGAGCTGCATCCAAGCATTAAAACATAAATTGTAGGCCTATAATGTCGCTGAAATCGGTATGTATACAAGATTATTGTATCACCAAATCAGTTTACAATTACATTTTTGCAAACAAAAGAATTTTTGTCGAGTAATCTGATTAAAAAATAGTAAAAATATTCTTGTTTTTAACAATTTAAACTTATTTCAATGAAATGTGACACAAAAAGTCAAGACTCAAGCATTACGTACGTGGGGGAGTGAACATACGAAGTTGAAAAAAGTATGAAAAGCTGTCACGCCTCCAAGCTTGAAATTATTGCCTTGGTCAAGCTTTTGCCGCCCATCAGGCACAGATCGACTACCCGTCAAACACTGCAACACTCGCCGCGGATTGAGGCATTCATCTAGAAAGTGAGCTAAAGGGCTTGAGCAATCCTGATACCTGGATAAAAATTTGAAAAAAAGAATAATCTTCTAAAAAAACCTACTTGCACCAATCCATATACTTAGGTATTAAAAGATTGCATCTTATGTAAATACAGAGAAAAGGGCCACTAATATTTGTAAAATATTATTGAGCTCCTCTAATGTATTAAATAATGTCAATTGTATATTTGTGTCAAAATGTCACCGAGGTACATTATTCTTCAAGTAAATTGCAACACAATCGATTGATGAAGACAATTCAAGCTACGTTGATGAGATAACCTTGTTATGTAAAGGATTAAGGGAGCCTCAATGATGGTAGAAATAGAACTCACCGTTTTTGTAGAGCTGATTTTAAATTTTTACCAAGGTCTGCCATGTCACGAAGGTACTCTTCAGGCTCATAAAGCACCCACTCAACGCCATCCGACTTGCCGCGGCCGGGACTAGGCCGTGTGAGCCAGCTGTCCAGAAGCTCAAGATCAAAAAACTTTCGTTTGCCAAGTTCTTCTGCATGCTTTCGGGTGTGCGGAAACAAGTGACTGGGAAGGCGGGAGAGATCATCTAACTTGTGTAGCTGTTTGAGTTCGGCACTAATTCGGTCCAACCGTTCCAAGGTGTCTCGAATCCATGAAATAGAATTCTAGATGTACTGTTTGACGTGTTGGCAACGTTCCAATAGGTCTTTAATGGGCGTGAATATGTCCAACATCAGGACTAGTTCCACTGCAAAATCTTGACCACGAACTTTGAATTTGACAGCGTCTACAGGGCTTGCTGTCTCGCGGTTCTGGATGAATGCTCGAACAAGAGACTTGTAGCTCTTGTAGAGCAAATCAAGTACCGCGATTGAAGAGCTGAAAAACCTAAAATGGCCAGGAGTCAGTAAAGACCAATATTTAGTTCTGTATACTAAGATATTAAAAACATTATTTGTAGATATTGTGAGTTTTTCCTTACAAAATCTTTACCTATTGAATAAATTAAACTTTATCAACAATTTATTATTACGTATGGTCAGTTAATGTATCGAAATTTATCAAAGTAATTTGTAATTGATGTACCTGACTTTACTGGTGGCAGTTCCAAAGTAATATCCCTGACAATTCCATAGTAATATCCTTAACGAGACAACAATTATACAGTAATTTCTTACCTTGTGGTTATTAGGCGAGTAGCCAAAGTGGCCTTCGAGTCCCCACTTATCGTACTTGCTTTGTATTTGGAGTAGCCACGTCCTGCAGCAAACATATCGGCAAACGAATTAGCACGATCCAAGAAACATTTAAAGAACTGTGAAGAGGAGGACTTGTCTCTGACTTCCTTGGCTGCAAGGTCTACAAAATGGGCCGAGTCCCAGAACACAGGCACTGCTAGATCGACGTCGCTTTTTTCAAATCCGCATCGCTGCTGCAGTGTTGCTCTGAATCCACGGGCTTGATATTGGCCGTCGGAGTGGTTTGCTGGTAAAAAATTCATCAGGAAAGAAGTAGAGCATAAAAAAATTAGCATGTCAACAACACCTTTAGATATTTCAACCTAAAAAACTTATGCAATTTGAGAAGACTATTTTCTAAATGGAGAATATTTTCAGTGTGGAAGGACAAGCATCTTGGATTTCATGATTTCATAATAATAAAAATAATTTATTTGAGAATAAATTTAGATTCAGTATGCAAAAAAGCTATTGCGGTATTATGCAAAAAAGGCTGAAAGGAGGGAACACAAAATTATAAAAAGCTTGAAATCTATGCAATTCGGTAACCATTATTTAAACTTACTAAGCTACACTATATAAATACCAAAATAAGATAACAATACAAGAAAGTAAATGCATGCAAAGCATTGCTATATATGGGCTACTTGAGGCAAATTCAATGAGTAACAGTAGAGTTGACACTACACTTACTAGAGCAGACCATTAATCAACCTTCGCGTTCTATAAGTTTTGTTACTAAATAACAAATGAAGAAACTTTGAGTCGTCGGCGCTTACTGACTTGAATGGAACTTCTAACTTGAACATGACAGCAACTTTATCTCAGTGTGAATAATTAGAAAAAGTATTCGTACAATGGTAACAATATTTTTTCTCATGCACGACTTATACTGGTAAAGCAAAGCACTAATGGTTAAGGAGAAGAGAGGAAGTCACCGGAAAACAGGTACTAGTAACGTTCATTGTATCGCTTACTTTGGTAGGTATTGAGATGTGGGCATTAATTTTTGTCAAAGTTTGGAAATCTTGACCAAAAAATGGCAAAACATGAAGAAATTAAATTCATAACTAAGTTAAGTTAACAATACTAATATATGAGCTTTAGAGATTAATAAAAATTATTATCTAGAACCCTGAAACTAAGAAAAATCTTAGAGGCAACATTGGTTTCCAATTACAAGCAAAAGTGTTTCCAATAGCGTACAAAATTGAACGGTATTACCAGTATGAGATGAGAGGGATTCTTCTGATACAAGACAAAACTCTTTTATTGTGTTAATGACTTGGTTTGCGAGTTCCTGAGCAGTTCCTCCCGCAACTTCATCAGCAATTGACTGATCCTCAGTATGACAAGAGTAAACCTTAGGAGCCCCAATGGGCACAGCCTTCTTCACGCCATTGAGGTTTATGATCAACATAATGGCATGATTAGTTTCTCTCATGGGCGTACTCTTGTCGCACGCACTAGCAAAATGGGGGGGGGGAATCCAGTACTCGCTAGAGGAGTTATCAGGTATGCATGCATGCCAAGTCGACATTGGCCAAGTAAAGCTTCACAAAGAGGCTTCGATTGTTTGCTGCAAATGTTGAGATTTTTTCAAAAATCAATATATTTCACTACACCAAACTATTTTACACCATTCTTTATTGAATAAAATACATTTCTTCGATAAAAGTTTTCAAGATTGAAATTGTTTACTATACGTAGTGTTTAAAATATCATTTTAAAAATCGCTACTTCGCTATTATTAGAGTTGACAGCGAAAGACCGCATTGTAAATGCTACATGACATCCAAAGCAGAAAAAATATAGCTTACCGTGAATGCTGCAGAGTGCCCACATCTACACCAAGACCTGCTAAGAGTGCTATGATATTTTTGTAGTTTACTCCTGCGGACTTCATCTTTATGCAGGCCAAAGCAGCAGACACATGAGAGACAGCCACTTTTAGTACGGTACCGGTACTCTGCTTTGCTCCTCCATTTTTTCTTTGAAATCAAGGACAGCTTGGACGTGGGCATCGCCACTGGATGAAGCACCAAGAAGATGGTCGACAAATTTACGACGGATGCTGTAAAATTTTCTGCGGTGCGTCTCTGAGGAACCAAGTTCAGTCACCTCAACACGGAAACCACGACAAAATTCCTTCAAAGATTCCACTCTGCAAAGAATAGAACGGTACATCAGCTGAAGTAGGGACAGTGCGTTTGCAAATACGGGAGCAAAATATGTAGCAGAGGCATTTCAAGGTAAATTGGAAGTATTTCAATGGATTGAATGTTGTTATTGTAAGTGCAGCAGTCTGTACAAAACTGAAGATTTAATTCTATAAGCGCAAAAAAAAAGAGATAAATGATACGAATATCTCGCACAATAGTTCAAACTCACGCTCTGCCACGGTTAAGTTTTCCTTGCAGTCCAAATGCAGCTCTGCATACACTGCAGTACACTTTGCAGCTTGCTCCCTCTCCTTCTTCAATTTTGATGCACGAATTCTGGCTAATAGCGATCAAAGATGTTGATGACTTGAGAATGGCCACGTTTTTGGCTGTCAAGTAAGACTCTGTGTTTAAACTCTGGCTCTGTGAAATGTGAGAAACAGGAATGATGAGTTACTGCGCGACACTTTTACAGCTGCTATAAATCATCCGCAAATTAACAGCAACATATTTCGTCTCAATTTTGTCATGATTCATGCTCTCTCTCGGGTGTGCTTCATAAATAACTGCCCATACTTTTCAGTCCATTAAATCATGGGTATGACTATTTAAAAATTTAACGGATTGTATTATAAAATCTTTTATTTATATATAACCAAACCAAATTATCCTTATAAATATGATCTTAATGTAACATCATTACATCGTTATCAGCTACTTGGAATCAAGGTCCTTTTTCAAGAAAATGAAAGCTCTGTGATCCCAAAATACAACGAAACGAGTATCGCGTTACTAACAAGCTAAAGAAAGGAAGAGGAATATTTATAATACTAGAGCTGACCTTTTCCTTGGAAGAGACACAACAGCAAACACTTTGCGATGGTTTTGCAGTTAATTTATCAACCAGCCAGTCTAGGCGCTGAAAGATAGCCTCATAACTTGAATCTGGCTGTGATAAATTATCTCCAACATTCTCGGAATTAGTCTTGGCTGGCAATAGAACGAATGATTCTAGGGAGTTTTGTTTTCGTGGAACTGAGGCAATGGACCCAGTTATTGAACAAAACTGTGGAGATCTTGATAGAACGTGAGAAGGCCTAGGTGAACGGTTGCCCAAAGACCAAGACGAACGGGTGCGAGGAGAGTGAGGCGAACGGACACGAGGAGACCGAGGCAAACGGGCGCGAGGAGAACGAGGCGAACTGGCGTGAAGAGACAGAGGAGAACGGTTGCGAGGAGACCGTGGCGGACGGGTACGAGACCGAGGAGAGGTAGCGCCATGAGACTCAAGCAAAAGATCGCTTGGCAAGTGAGGAAGAGGAATATTATCAATTTTACTTCCTTTAGTGTTAAGAGGCGAATCACGAAATACAATCGATTTGGTCCACTGATAGTCATATTCCCCTTTGTGTTGCTCTCTTGAATGCCGTTCGCCATAGCTTCGTGTCTTCCGCGCGAGTAAGTGACCGCACTCAAGACATATATATTCTTTCATTTTTAGCTTCCTTTCCTTATCACCGGCCTTCTTGCTTGATTTCTTCGTTGCCGGCTCTCCTCCGCCTCCTAGAATCTTCATCCAAGCACGCTTTTGTTCTTCATGCGTCTGGAAAATCATGAGAAACATGAGTGATGAATTACTTGTATTACTCAATTGTCTGTAATTTCTTGATTATGAAAATACATCAACGCTGGAACGTACCGTCTCTTATGTTTTTTACTTTTATTCAGTTCACTGAATATACCACACATATTTTTGATATCTTTTACAGATGAACAAATTTGTTTGAGGTTAAATCAACCTATAATTTTGTCAAAATTTCATAGATTTAATTTGTTTTAAAAAGGTTCAATGACATTTGCTATGGAAACTCCTCACGACATACTACATGGACCGACATAAAATAAGGAACATCCTTGAAAGAAAAGTCAGGAAATTAATAAAATTAGTTCAAGTTCAAAATGGAATATATTCAAGGCTTCAAGCACCTGCATATGAGAAGAGTGTGGACTTGTCGTAGCCGTTGAGGCGCACGCCTCAGTGGCATCAGCCAAGACTGAGCCGCTCGGTCCAACCATAGAGCCGCTTGTCTCCTCCATCATTCTCACGCTTGAAGATCTGAAATATAATACTGCAATCAGAATCAGGTAATGCTGTTTCGTAACAGACTAGCTCACTAGCAGACAGACCGAGGTTTATCCGGGAAAACAAATTTTAGGCATTGCAAAATCCCATTTACACGAAGTCCGTTATCCCAATTCCAGGGTATAATTTTTTATTTAAAGTACGTTAATTATACCAGGTGCTGACCACTGAGGTCTCGTTCTGTCCCATGCTTGGTATGAAGCATTTGTCTTAACAACGAAATTGAAATTAGGACAAAATTGATACTTTTTAATCGTTAATAATATGTAAACATAATAAATTAGAGAAATTGTATACATTTATACATTTATTTATATTCCTTCTCTCCTAACTGCCGCATGACTAGAACAATAAAAATAAAATTTGAAATGCCAAAAATATAAAACCCGATCCAACAAATGTTTCTGAAACGCGCACGTTTCAGGAATTTCCAATGTACTCCTATTTACTTACGGTGTCAAGTGCTTTCAACTTTTCAAGTAAGTAAATACAAAATCAAATAAACTTAAGCAAATGTATCGTAGGTAGCTAGTTTTTCTTTGTATCGATGGGCGGTGGCATCTGGTAGTCTGCTAACTGTGGTTAGAATCTTAGTTTAAAGAGTGCGAGTAGCAGATGCCGGAGCAAACTTCCTTCACTTCAGTCACAAAATCGGCTGGGCATGAAACTTCGTAGTTTCCCTGGTGCAACTCAATTAGTCACTCCGCGCTGCTTAGTTGGCGCTTCATCAAAGTTGCAGGAAACAATTATCACGATGGCAAACATTTTGATATTCTGAAAATCTGACTAAAAATTCCCTACAAATATTTTAGAACTAAAATGGTTTAAAATTCGAACGATACAACGTAAGGACTAACAAGCAGAATTAAGTAGTGTTGTTGCTTTCGATTCCAGATTACGGCTAGACGTCTTAGCCTCTTAGGTGTAAACGCGTAATCATTCACGGCAGAGCGTAGTCTTGCATTGAATCTTTTTATAAAACATTCTCAATATAATTCTGTCAAATATTTATGTTCTGTATTAGAATGAGATAAGAAGCTATGACATGGTATTATGGGAATACTCACATTTTTTATAACTGCCAAGTCTTATTTACTTCCAGCTGTCGTACAAAGTACAAACGAAAGTGCGAGTCTAGAGTCGTCACTGCACAACCACATGCTGTAACCCAATGAACGCAACTGAAAGCATGATGCATCATGCATGCATAGCCACTAGATCCAGATCGGCCGGCTCTTGATGCTTTAACGTTAGTTCGTATCTGACAGCTGCCTCCTTGCTCTCCCTTCCTGCGTGGTTTCCCTACAGATACACATTACCCCAATTCCCAAAAAAACCCTATCGAGTGTCGAAGGTGCAGCGTGCAGTGATTCTTCACAAAATCTGTGAATGTGATAAAGTGAGTGTTACGTTAGCTCAACATACGCCACCTCAACTCTTTACAGAAACGTAAATTTGCATAATTTAAGTAAATTTGCAAAATTTAAGTAAATTTGCAAAATTTAAGTACCAATGTGTTGTAGGGAGTAGGGGCACCGCCGGCACAGCATTTTAGCGAGCCGTGGACGAGCCGCGAGATTTCCAAATCACTCAAATTACGGGGGCTTGCGAGCCGCGAGATTTCATAGTCACAAAAAATTGTGGTTTTTGAGCCACGAAATTTCACAAAAAAGTAGGAGATTTCCTTTCCTGGGTTTTAGTCACCAGGTCCGGGGCTCCCCGGACCTGAAGTGAAATTTTTCTGAATGAATTTTTGAAAATTCGATACCAACTTTTTATGTTTTCTGGACGTTTCAGAAGATTCTCTATCGATTAGTTTGATCGAGAAATGAACTTTTCTGTGACCCGAATATGTTGGTGCGACGAAATTTTTCTAAGTAAATATAAAAATTTTATATGTGAAATTAAAAGTTTTCTCAACATTTCAGATGATTTGCAGCCTTTTATTTTTTTGAACCTGGTCCGCCGGACCAGTCCGGGTCCGGGTTTTAGTCACTCGGTCTGGGTCCGGGTTTTAGTCAGTACCTGCGGCAGGGCTGGCCTCCTCATCCATTAACTTGAGCAGTTCCTATGATCATAATGCTGGACATCAGTCTGCACATCTTGGGGGATTCTCTTGCAAATATCCCCCCTGACATTGATCTTGCCAGCACAGATGAAGTGACAGTTGCAGGCTGCAAGAAGCGTGCACGTGAAGCTGAAGGTGATATCATTGGCTTAGCCAATGATGGTGAGGATGTGGAAGCATTTAACTTGGCTAAAAAATTGCCCCTGAGCACCCCAAAGGAAGTGGCATGACAGTGACAGCAAATCTGATTAATACGGTTACTGGCAGTGAGCAATCTTTTGATGAGACAGCAGGTCGTCACCATAGCGCAAGTGTGGAATTTGTTGGGGCAAGAGCGCAAGACATCATAAACGCATCACTCAGGCTGCTCAGGCAATTGCAATGAATGCCACGCTCATGAGTCAGGGAAGAGGTTGCACTATTATTATTAAACCAATCGGCTCAAACTCAGCAACTTTTCTACAAAACCCTGTGAACTTGCTCAAGGTAGATTCAGCCTATGGCAAATTTTCAAACTGCAAGGTGCGCACCAACTCTAGAAGAAACCTAGCAGCTATCGAGTTTGATGCTATTTCCCCAGCTGACATGAACTATCTGTTGCAAGTGTCCAAAATAGGAAAATGGCCAGTGAAGTGCTACCAACCTGGGTCAGACATCACAGTAACTTAGTAAGTGGAGTCATTGGTCCTGTTCATCAATCTGTAGATGTATCTGAGCTGCTAAACTCGGCAAAATCAGGATCCATCAAAATTCTGCAAATGATAAGGCTTCCTTGTGTACAACAGGGTGTAAGAGAGGAATCAGCTGCTGTGAAAGTAGTATTTGCTGGGCAGAAAATCCCAGAAGCAGTTTATGTAGATTTTTTGCGGTTTCCTGTTAGACCTTTTGTATCCTATACTATGAGATGTTTTCGATGTCAGGGCATTGGACATATTGCCTCTGGTTGTACTGAAGCTAAGAGATGCCTCCTTTGTGCTGGCCCACAGGACAGGACTGAATGCCCAGAAAGCACAGGCACCACACACTGCTGTGCAAACTGCGGTGGACCTCATACAGCAAGTGCTCGAGACTGCCCCATCATTGCCAGTGCCAGGGCTGTAGAAAAGCTGAGAGCTACAGGTCTAACTTATGCAGAGGCGGCAAAGAGGGTAATGAATCAGTCCTCTGCTCCTGCCGATCGTGGTGGCAAACCCCCCCAACCCCCAGCTGTTCAAGTAGAACATCAAAGTACAGAGAAACCCATCATAGGGCCAAAGCCCCCTCAAGCTGCTTGCCACCCTGAGACTGAAGATCAAGGCCTGAGACAGTCAGTGGTGACTGCTGAGATTCACTGCACTCAGGGTTCATACTACTCCACTCAACCTTCACCACAGGCATCATCACAAGACTCTTTCACTAATAACTCTCTGCTCATGACTGGATCTGCCAATCAGCAGGGGGTGACGTCTCCACCTGCATTTGCTATAGCCCCACCTAACTCCACTGATTTTAGAGCAATACTAAGAGAGGAATTGATTGAGGGTGAATGTCAAATGGAGAATCTCATTGCAGCAGCTCTCCGAGAATTTTCCTTGAAAGTGGGAAGAATATTGCATGAGGCATTTTCCTTGGACCTGGCTAGAGAGGGACAAAAGGAGAGATCTCTTCTTCTTGTGAGCCTCCTGAGGAACAACTTTGGCCAAACTGTAGGTGATGATCTGCTAAATGAATGGTTGCCAGCAGGTTCTGCAAAGTTTCTCATGACCCCATTTTGCAGCCTTGTGTGTTGCCTGCCTCCCCTGGCCCAATAATAGATGTTGCTATGTCCACAAGTGAATCAGAAAAGAGTCTCTTAAACAGTAAGAAGCAAGCAGGATCCCCAAATGGCAAGAAAAAACAGCATGCAGCTGCCAGCCTGACAAAGAGATCAACTGGAAGAGGTGTGGGCAAGAAACTTTGTAAATGACTCCTCCAACAAGTATTCGGCGTTCAGCACCGTCAGAGCAGAACCTAACCATCATTCAATTCAATTGCCATGGACTTCAAAGCAAACTTACAGAATTTAAGCTCTTCATTTATACCCAGAAGCCAGATGTTGTCTGTTTATGTGAGACTTGGCTTAAACCCAGAGAACCCCGATTTGTGGGCTACCAGTGTTACTGGAGCCACTAATGTCCAGCCCTCTCCCAGTGACATATTCCTGCTGGGAGCCTTGAATTTCAGGATGTGCAGGTCCGCTTATCTCTTGGCATGGTCAACATTGGCAACTTTTACAATCCAGGTGCTAATATTTCATAGCTGGAGTTCAGATCCACATTTTTGCAATTTGCCTTTCCATGCATAATTACAGGAGACTTCAATGCTCACTCTTTGACCTGGGATGCTTGTGGACGACAAAATCAATCTGGCCAGTCTTTGGAGGGAGCTGTGGATGACTTGAATATGTGCATAGCAAATGATGGTTCATTCCCAACATACACTGATAACAGAACTGGCACAACTTCTTGTTTGGATCTATTCATACTGTCACCAGATCTCTATCCCTGCTCTTTTCTGAGCAGAGGTACAGACATGGGAAGTGACCATTTCCCTGTTTGCTGTACTTTTGGAGTAGAAGTTGACCAAGCCTCAGAGGATATACCAACTCGTTGGAAGCTTTATTATGCAGATTGGGCCAGTTATCGCAGGATTTTATGAGTGAGAGCAGTCGTTCCCAGGACCTGAAGCAGCAGAGGAAATGTGCTCCCGTATAACAAGAAACATCACAGCAGCAGCCTTGACAGCCATTCCACAGTCCTCTGGTAAGCGTCATTATCACTTCTCAACCCCATGGTGGGATGAAGAGTGCTCAGTGGCAGTTTCTCTATGTAGAAAAGCCAAAACAAAACTGTGGCGTTCCCCAACACCTGAAAACTTGATAGATTATAAGCGTCTGGAGGCCAAGGCATGCTGGATTGAACTCCAGAAGCAGAAATCAAGTTGGGAAGAATTTGTTGGCTCAATGTCAGCTACCACAACCACCAAGACTACTTAGAGCAAAATCCGAAATATTAAAGGCAAATCGTTACCTTTTGTATCCTCACCACCCCTGCAAAATTTAGCAAACTCAGATGACCTTTCAAAAGCCACCGCATTTAGCCGGCACTGGGCTCCCCTCTCCAATCCAAAGCCTTTTCCGGGGAATGTAATGGCTGTGGTTACTCGCCTATCATAGCTGAGAACTTTTGATTCTGAAACTTTTATTTTGGAAGAGCTTGACCTTGCTTTTCAGGACCTCAAAAATACTGCCCCAGGTCATGATGGAGTGATGAACATCTTCCTTGAGAAGCTGCCACCTACTGTCAAAATTGAAATATTCTCCCTGTTTAATGTCTGCTGGTGCACAGGGACAGTCCCAGAAACATGGAAGCAGGGAATTACCTGCCTTATCTTGAAGCCAGACAAAGATCCAACAGAAGTGATGAGCTACAGGCCTATTACCCTTCTCCCATGCCTCGGGAAATTGATGGAACGCCTGGTGCTACGCCACCTCGAGCACTTCTTGGAGAGCAATCTTCTTCTCCCTCAACTGCAATTTGGTTTCCGACAAGGACACAGCACAATCAATGCTTTACACCTTTTGAAGAATGAAATAGTAAGGTTCATGAAGCAATAAGAGTACTGTATTGTGGTGTACCTTGACCTTCAGGGAGCATTTTGACTGGGTGTGGCACCAAGGCCTCCTATACAAGTTGGCTTGCCTGGGGGTGACTGAGCAGATGTTGGTCTGGCTGTACAACTATCTAGAGGGCCGCTCAACACGGGTCCGAGTTGGCACATGTTTATCCCAGCCCACAGCCATGACAGTTGGTGTTCCTCAGGGGGCAGTGCTATCTCCAGTACTCTTCAATGTGATGCTCTTGGATGTGCCATCTTCCCCAGATGTGTGCCTCATTGGGTATGCGGATGACCTCACTCTGTTCACTAGTGCTGAAAACCCAAAAACAGCACAGCGGAACATGCAGTCTTACCTTGACCGATTTGAGGCCTGGTGCTGCAAGTGGCATTTCCTCCT